CTTAGATATTAGGTATAAAATATACAATGAGACAAATATTTTTGTAGGTAGGTAAACTATTTCACATAGAATACGGTAAGAATTGGTCGATTCATTAACGAACCATAAAATCAATAAGCTAAATTTAGAATAACATTAGCATTCTATATGTTAGGATTTCTAAAATAGTTTTCTAATTACTTGGAATACTCAACATTTTCCACAAAATTCAAACATTCATTGATGTAATCGATCGATGACTGCAGGGGAATTGATGATCGTTGTGTTGATGTGATGCATATGAGCATGTAGCCTGTTCGATTGAGCGACTGAAGCTTTCAACAGATTTGTCTATTTAACTAATCACTGTAATCAAATTGAAAATAGTGCGATGAACAAAGACGGTAGAATCTGTTGGACTGTTGTTTAGAGACTACTACAACTAATATTTCTACCGATAATACTAATGATACTACAATGTCTACTGTGATACTTTTGCAACCTACTTTCTTCTTCTAAGTGAACACAATTTGTGTTTGAGACTGCGGGAATTCAAACGAATCGATTCACATTGATTCAATATCCAGTAGTGTAGGTGAGGATAGAACTACTGACAAATGAGTGGATTCAAAAAGAACACAATAAAAATTAGACATGACCGTACATAAATAATCCATTTAAACTGAAACCGAAATCAAACGAATATATGAACATAGAAACACCATATCATAGAGAGATCGCTGGAAAGGATTTCATGCAGCGACCAGCAAACAATTCAATATTTGAGGTGGTGGAGAAGATTTGTAGGTTTGGTGGGTGGTTGTAGTGGTGGTTTTTGGTTCTCTGATCTGAGTGTTTTGACTGTTCTTTTGAACAACAACATCATGAGCACAAACTTCAGATAGAAGAAGTGAAGCATTCGAATTTCTCCACGTTTGACCTGTAGGTCAAATATTTGAACAATGAAAGCTCCACAACCAAAACACTCAGTCCAGAGAACCAAACACCACCACCACCACCACAATTCAATATTATTTATACGTGACATAAGCATAATGAATTATTAAAATGGAAATGAGAATTCCGAGGTGATCATTCAATGACAGCACAATGATCATCATGTAATAATTCAATTCTTCTTGAAAGTTTATTCAATTGGGTTCGTCACTAGGTACGCTTGAAGCTATCATGGGTTCAACTTAGTCGATAAACGCGAACGAGACAATGAACCATCATCCAGGTTGGTAATCTTGATCCGAAAACTGCAAAATAGAAGTCCTGATCAGCATAGAATTTATATTCTTCAAACACACAGCAATCACAATACAATCAAGCACACAAATCTCGTTTATTTACTCATCATAGAAACCTCCTCGGGACAGTCAAAAAATGGCACACTAAAATACACAGCAGCCAATCACAGACATGGAGTTTCCTGTTGGGAAATGAAATCTCAGGGTCAACTGATTAGCCCATGTTTGCAAATGTGAAATTCAAAAATAAGGCGTTTATCAAGCGAGTTATTGGGTTCGAATCCTGTGAAGTGCAGAAGCTGTGGATGCTCACTGCTGATTTGTCCCGAGGACGTTTCTATGATGTATAAATAAACGAGATTTGTGTGCTTGATTGTATTGTGATTGCTGTGTGTTTGAAGAATATAAATTCTATGCTGATCAGGACTTCTATTTTGCAGTTTTCGGATCAAGATTACCAACCTGGATGATGGTTCATTGTCTCGTTCGCGTTTATCGACTAAGTTGAACCCGTGATAGCTTCAAGCGTTTATAATGACGAACCTAACATGGATGCTAACATCATAAGAATTATTTTTTCTCAGTATAAGTTGACACATTTGTCGTTACTGGTGAACCACTGGATGTTATAAGGATTTAAATTGGTTATTTTCAGAGATGATTTCATTATTGATAATAATATCAACTAGGATGACAATAAATGTCATTTCTGCAGAGAGTCAGACTCAAAGTGTAGGAATAATTTTCTAATTGAAAATCGTGTATGAAAATTATTGATTGGCTTGTTGCAGGTACCAATCAATTGTTGCGTATTCTACGTTTCAAGTAATCGTCAAGAACACACTGGGTCACGATCTTAGTAAAACTTCATTTTCGAAGTACACCTTGATAGATGAGAATGATTATTACGTCAAAAAATGCTGAACAGTTCAAAATGGCCAAATTGTATTTTAGTTCAGTTTGTGTATATGATCTATTTTGTGTGACTTGTATAATCTGCCTTCTTTCTCTTCATATAACATGTGTCAATCACAGAGGTATATGTTCTCTATAATAAACAGAATACGTATTGTCAATATCATTTATCAAATCAAATGCACACTTTACTCAACTGAACGAACGAACAACTTTTAAAAACACACATTACAAGGGAATACATGAAAGTTTCTGAAGAATATAAGGCTACCATTAATAAAAAAGTGAATTCATTCAAATCTATGACATTTTATATAACAACTGAAAGCAGATGTTATCAAGGAAAGGACTAAGGCATTTTTTTAGAGATCATCATGTCAAAGATGGTTTCCGTATGTAATTATTTCATGTTTCAGCGAACAAATTACACGCGAACTCTCATCATCAAGTTTTAATTCGTTTCGAAAGTAGACAAAATTAAACAAACTGTTCTCTTAGTATTTATAAAAAAATATATTTAATCTTGGTACAGCTATTCATAACATTCTCTTAACTTAGAATTAGTAGGCAATATCTACTGACCAATCGATACTCGGGCAGCATCATCGACAATCAAGGTGGATCCAATGCAAATGTGAGGGCGCGGATTGGCAAAGCAAGGGCTGCATTTCTACAGTTGAAAAATATATGGAACTCCGAACGACTTTCAACCTAAACCGAAATCAAGATTTTCAATACAAATGTCAAGACAGTTCTTTCTTCTGTACGGATTGGAAACTTGGAGAACTACGAAAGCCATCATCCAGAAGATACAAGTGTTTACTAACAGTAACAACAGTAACAACGTACTGTGGGAGAAAACAAACCAGATTCCAGTGAAGGAGGAAATCAGGAAGAACTGGTGGAAGTGGATAGGACACATTGCGGAAAGCACCTAAATGCATCACGAGACAAGCCCTCATATGGAACTCTCAAGGCAAAAGGAAAAGACGAAGGCCAAGGAACACATTACGCCGAGAAATAGAGACAGATATGAGAGGAATGATCAAACATTGGACAGAACTAGAGAGGGAAGCCCAGGACAGAGTTGGTTGGCGAAAACTGGTGGGCGGCCTATGCTCCGTTGGGGGTAACAGGCGTAAGTAAGTAAGTAAGTAAGTAAGTAAGTGGGTAAGTAATCGATATTCTAGGTGAATACAAATATACTTTATATTGTTCTCCAGTTTCTCTACTTGTGGTAATTGTTTCCTCCAACCTTACATTTGATTTACTATATTCAGTGATTTATCCAGTGAACAGAGTTAAAGTTGAGGATTAGCATATCGAGTTACCGAGATTAGTCCACATAAAACTCATGATTTATATATTGAAAAGTCAGGCAAGATATTATCCAATCCGAAATTGTTTGTAAATGTTTTCAATTTTTGTTATAATGTGATTGATATCAAGGCATGCTTATTCGGTGTTTCAGCTGAACTACTACTATCACATCTTTCGCTTGGTCGACGATAATGGATTTCAGTGAGAGGTGTAGGTGTTCTATGTGGAAAATGCTCATCAATGAACACACATGTATCATTCACTTATTGAGATGGTTTTGAGGACAGTACTTATAATGTGATATGATGATTCAGTGATGATGTATAGACAAGAATAAAAACCACTTATACGATGAGAATCTCACGAATCCGGGGATCATCAAAGGTTCATTGAAAATAATGAATGAGAGAATTACAATGAACATCAGTCAATTTCAATATGATGATAATGAGGAGGTTGAAGATTAGTTTTATTGAGTTGACTGTAGTCAGTCTATGAGAAATACCATACAAATGACATCAGCATTACGATAGGAGACCTAAATCACAATGTTGAAATTAGCAACATCCGATTAGAGGAAATAATGTCATGTCATTTGACTGCGAATGATGCGTTAGTACTGCTTCCCGGACATATCATGAAACCTAAATTAACGGTTTCTTGTCTACTGATCTCACTGAATATTTCAATATTTCTTAACTTTCTCGTGATTAGCTGTATAATGGGGTACCAAAAGATGAATAACTATCTTCCGAAAAATGTCTACCACGTAACTTTAACAAAAATTATCTATTGAATAAACTTAATACTTCAATAGTTTTTGGAAATAACAGGAAGGCTAAAGAACTTTTAGAGGATGAGAGTGCATATATGTTTGGGATGTTGGATATCCAGAACACGCTTGATAAATATTGTTATTTTAGATTTATTGCATAGACCGATCATTTGACCTTGAGATTGTAGCATCTCATTATTCATTCATTGTACTTTCGTTTGAATTAATCGATAACTATGAATAATGAGATGCTACAATCTCAAGGTCAAATGATCGGTCTATGCAATAAATCTAAAATAACGATATTGCTCAGTAGGCTCGTCCCTTCGTTATTAGACTGATAGGTCGCTTACTCTGCGAATTTGCACTGCTAATTGAGCCTTATGTATCCGAGCTCAGATTTCTTTAGACAGTAGGCTATCAGTACTGATGAGACTCCGAATATTAGTGAAGTGGTCAAACAGTTCAACTACCTCTCATCCTTTCACTATTTCAGGTGCTAACTCAACCCGATCATGAAGCAACATTTTGCATCTCGATAAAAAGGGGATCGCATCCCAAATATGCTTGCGTTGTTGCTCAATGTGATCAGTGGACTGTGTTTTATCGAGATTCATTACATCAGCAAAACGGACATTGTGTATATGTTGCGTGTTACAGTGACATGATTATCAGTTTTGACTAGCATGTTTCACTTTATCTCTTGAATGTTTGATAACTTACAATTTTCTTTTCAAGTAAAAAATAATTGAATGCCACAAAATTCGAAAGTTTATTCATTGTATTTTTTTTTATTTAAAAAATTACAAATAAAATCATTTGAAAAATTGCATTTTACTGAGAGCCTGATCTCCTATGACTATATTATGTTGTTTATGCCAAAGACAAATCCAATATTGTTGAGGATCTGATTTAAATTGTGAAAGATTGTCATTAAGACCAGTAGTTCTGAAGAAAAATAATCAAAAAAAAAATTACATATATCAAGCAATTTATCATAATAAATCTAATGGAAATGAAATTTTTATTTGTAATAATCACTAGTTATTACTGACTAATTTATAAGTAGTATTGTTTGACAATGATATCTGTATATTTTTTTTGACATGAACTATTGAATATAATCAATTAATGTCAATTGAAATTAAAAAAAATGATCATCATATTAAAAAAACAATAGTCATAATAATCAGTAAAAAAATGTATTAACCTACCCATGTAAGATTGGCTTGATCTCACATCGATAATCGTAACCGGTGTGTCCTCGGAACATTGATTTAATATGATTTTCTCTCTCTTTATTCTCACTATATAAATCGAAAGCTACTTCAACTAGTTTTTTAGCGTATTCTTTCAATTCTTCTGGCATATTATAAACAATCACTTGTGCCATGATGATAAAGTAAGAGTGAAGAAGGTAGAAATTGAAATTCTTGATATAAATGAATAGAGTTAAACAGATGTATATATATATGTATATATGTGTGTTCATTTGTAAATGAAATAACCTTGAACTTTGATTGGACTTAAAGAATTTAGTAAAATTTCTTCAAAAGTCTATGTGTATGATAGGTGGAAGAGGGTTTTGTGTTTAGAGAATTGTAGTACAGATTGATTGATTATTCAACCTATAAATCGAATGATTTTTGATTAATTCAGAACAATACTATCGAATGAGAATTTCAATTAACTGTTCAAGTTCCATATGAAAATGTTATAACCTTAATATGAAGTACACAACTATACGTTCACAGATTTGAAATCATCAATCAATCATTGTTAGCCCACCATTAGAAACCTGGAAGCACTGAACGATGGCCGGTTCGTCCTGGTATGGGACTCATCAGTGTCAGTGCGCATCCACGACTCCTGCACTCCCGCATAGACTATAGTTAGAATTAGCCAACTACAGCTATATATATCATCAGTTACTTGTATTCCGAGCTGCATGAGTAATTATTATGTCAGGATTTGTAGATAATTTTTAAACGCTCAAAACATTCAATTTATAAATACTACGGAATTTACATTTATTTATTGAAAAGCGTTCTGTTGGTTTTGCAATGATTGACATGAATTTCATTTGTACAAATGAGATTAGTATTCATCAGAATATATTTATGATTGTTGAACAAATCAGTTATTCATCTGTTTATACACTGTACGAATGTTGCTAGTTGTTATTGTTCAAACGTGATAAATGGTTTTTCTTCAAATATTGTTGGATTATAATTCTCTGGTAATAAAAATTGAATATTAAAACATTTCCATTTATTCAATATCAAAGATTTTGCCATTTAAACAAGTATGATTGATTTCGATGAATTGGCCATATGTTACAAATGACTGATGGCAAACTGAACAGTATGAACAGCTGGTGCGTGTAGATTTCAATGTGAACTAACAAATCAGAATAAAGCGTGAAACGATCGATGATCATATTTCAATGTGTCAATAATCCAATTTGAAATCATTGAGTTAAAATTTTGACGAGTAGTATTATCATGTGAAAATACCGTATTTATTTGTAAAGTTGAAATCACCTAACAAGTTGACCTGCTGCATTATTCACAGATGTTTCACATACACTGAAGACTGAATCATCATATTCAGGAAGAAATTTCATCAAAGATTTTAAAATTATAACTTATAATTGTGTTTGTGTTGATGATTTTCATTATGAACGGGTATCATTAGAAATATGTTTGAATTTGAAAGCCGAAATACACTAACTTTTAATGATTGTGTGAGGCGTTTTGAACTGTTGGCTTCAATTCTTGGTAGTGAATGTTGGTACGAGTTTTAAGTCATTCAAAGTGCTACTCGAATTCTAGGAGGACTAATCTGAGTAACTCGAAATCGCGAGTATTATGTTGAAATGTAAGGTGGCGCTCGAAGGAAGTTGACAAGAAACCATGAATCCAACTTTCTCGATCTGTCCTGTTCATGATGTTAATATGTCAGACTGTGAAGCAGACAACCTTAAATTCGAATTCACCAGAGAGACGACTAAAGGTAGCAAAAGCCACAGCAGTAGTAGCTATCAATATACACAAAGCAATAAGCAAGATTTTTTGATGTGACACAAAATGCACCAACTAAATTACCCTTGCTGAAGATACGTTGGAGTATGTACAATGCTTTTTACATATCTCGGCAGCAAAAAAGACTTGATGAGCACGATGGTTCTAATGCAGACGTGAAGGGCAAAGCAAAGAGAGCATTCTGATTCATTGAAGAACATCTTGAACTCAAAGCAACTATCAACTAACAGTGAAGTCAGAATTTGAATTAAAAATATTAAGAAAGTTCTACTGTATGGGGCAGACACAAGGACAAATACGAAAGCCATCATCTAGAAGAGACAAGAATCAATAAGTTTTTTGTTGGCTAACCTATCAAAATGAACCGATTGAGTTGTACACAACTGATGAATCGTTCATATAAGATAACATGACATAACATCACACAAAATAAGAATGAAAACTCACTACTAAATTCAAACAATTATTATCGTACTTGTTGAAAGTAAGAAAATTCCGTTTTGATTGATCTTAGAGCAACAGAACAGAGTCTTAGTTGGCCATATTTTACACGATCCAAGGAATGTTGATCACTCATCTAATTAACATGCACCAATTTCACTCAATATTTTGATGGTCATCTTGTCACTAGCGACTTTAATAATTTAAAACGAATATAGTTTAGTAGTAGTAATCCTATTGTAGTGAAGGAGAACACAGTTGGGGCAATCGGACTGCATTTAATGAAAATTACAGAGTTACTCAGTAAAATAGGAAAACCATATCGTAAATCGTTAATTTGCGAAAAATCAGTCCATCATATCGAACTGGACTGTTCCTGTTGCAAAACATCAATCCATTGTCACTATTCATGCATTTCATACAAATTCCATTGTGTTCTAATTCTTCCTTTCTTGATCTTCCTCCCTTCTTCTGCTGCCAGATATTACGTTGACGCTCACGTCATATACTACTTATAAGTCGCCCGCACCACACTATTACTGGTTGTAGTAAAAATGATTGTATTAAATATAGATGTTATAGTACGGAGTTGTAGTGAGTATCAACATTCCAGCTGATCCTAACATCTTCCTTTATCACACTATGTTCAAATTGACCACAGTGATCAGTAAAGGGCAAAATCTGCTCAAATTCACAATCACTCAACCTCCATTTTACTTCATCGTCCATAAATATTAATAGCATGAGGTCATGCCTTCAATCTATGAAAATAATAAATGTGTGCATTACGTTGTGGAGATTGAACATTTCAAACATTGCAAACACTTTGTATCAATCTTAACATAAAGAATGCTAATATAATTATGTGATTTTATGATTCTGTAATGGTCAAATCTCACTGTAGTCTGTGTAAAATTGTTTATCTACAAGCAAAACTACAGTTGTGCATTTTATAATTAATTAGGTTACAGCATTTTTAGATGGAATTCGAAAAAGTCTTTGAAACTCTCATAAAAATCAATCAATTTGTACTTTAGTATTCAGTCAATCTTTACGCTTCTCTATAAACATAATATTCTACCTATTAAATAGCTGTATATTATTATATTCATTGAAGCATTTGAAGAAATTTTACTATCATACAGTCCAATCAATGTTTAAGGTCATTTTGTTTTATTGTACACCACATATAAATAAATAGGTAGTTTATTTTCTGTTTGTTTTGTATTCATTTTGTACGGCAATTTGAATTTCAACTTTCTTTGCTTTATTATCATGGCCAAAATCATCAAAACTAATATGCTTGACTCTATGATAACAGAAGCTACTAATTTGGTGGAACGTACCTTCACAAGTCATAATGACAATAAAGAAAGAGAAGAATGTATTCAGCGTGATTTCCAGAAATACATGATTGACAATTATAATGTCAAAGATCACTGTTTTCGATGTGTTAACAAGAAGTACACACCCGAGTAATTTTACAATATTATTTCAATAATTTTCTATTCAATGTGATATGTATGTACATTAGATGTCTATATGAAATATTCTTCTCCACTGATGATACCCATCATCATAATGAGTTATCATTCTATTACATCTCATATATTATTTTATTTTATACTCAATAGTTCATACTGAAATGATAGTTACTGCTACTGTGAATTAGACAAACAATACTACTGTTGTAAACCATTCAGTAGTATTAATGATTATGACCAATATAAATTTGATTTCAATTCATTTGTATTGTCTTATAAATTGTTTGCAATTTGTCTATTCGTAAATTTCTTTACTTTTACTGATGAAAAAAATTCATTTTGTTTAAATTTTTTTTATTTGTAGCTACGAACAAAGTATAATTAAATTTGAACCAGAGAATGATTATTTATTCATTGCCTTTGTAATCGATGACCGGATTGTATTCTTGGGTGATATTCCTATTGACCAAGTCATTTTCTGAACAAGGATTTATTTTATATGATTTTATTTGTTATGAAAAACCAATAAATGGACTTTCATGTTGATAGCATTGAGTGGTTCGTTTTTTGGTGAAGTATTGGTGTGTCTTGAGCGCTTTAATAATTTTTGGAGTGTGAAAAGTGCTAATGCGCTGATATTTGACGAAATCTCAGCACGGATATCGATGTGTCACCTGCCTTTTGCTACCTTGCCCTAGTGATGACGCAGTTAATATATTTGTTGCAAGCAAAAAGACGAGTTTACTGATAGGCAGTTCGCCTCGTCTCAGTTTAACTGGTTTGAAACGTGGGCAGTCAGACGATAATATTGGCTTACAGATAGTCTATTATAGGTGTCTTCGAAGTATTGCACGTATGACCTGGGACTACTCATCAAACAAGAAATGCTTAGCTTATATAAAGAGTACTAGGTAGGGATGTCGAATCATTTGAAGAAACAGATAATGTTGATCAGTTGACGTAGTTGGAATATGTGTTACGTATAGTCGATCAACAAACCTATTAAGACGAGTGGTGTTGTCTGATGAGGATGGCTAGGAGGATGCTGTAGTCGTACAAACTGAAAAGTAGCACAGATGAATAAAGTCACTGACAACTGAAATTATCCATGTGTTTAGGTTTAGTTTATCTGATTGAGTTCTACAAAAGGATTTAGAAACTTTGAACAACATGTTTCGAAATCGTTTGTTACGGTAGATATGTATCCAATCTGTTTATTCTCAAATTCCAATCTTCTGCATTCCTCGATTAGGTTATTATTGTATGTCTGAATTGATATTACTGAGACACACTACGTGAACTGTCTCTCCAAATTCTAAGCTTTTCTAATTACTGATAATACTTTCATGACCTCTGCCACAAGGAAATCTTAACTAAAAATTTCATCTGTCTATCATAATTTGGTATGAAAAATTGAACTGACAGATGTGCTCAATAAATTAGAAATGCTGAAAAACTACTTGATGACAGAAGTGTATAAAAATCATTGGATACTCACTCATCCAGTAATAAGATTAGACAATTCAATCTCATGCACTCTAAACGCTCACACACACACACCCATAATTCGACTACGTCAATATATATTCCTACTTCGAAACCGACATAAGAATTATCAAGAGAATTTTTGGGGAATATTGAGACATTTATCGAATTCAACCAATTACTCAAATTATTCTTCCATTTCATTCTTGGACGAACTTGCCAAGATTCGAAAAGACAACGAGAAATCGATGATTACCTTCGACGTAACAGCCTTATTCACCTCAAATGAACTACGTTTTGCTCGAAAAAAACTGCATTCATGCTCCTCATCTCAAACAACTAATGTCTTACAAAATATATGAAACTAGAATCAAAGCCTAATAAAACCATTTCATTGTATGCTTAACAACGTTTTTCACAAATCACAAATACAGATCGGCTGTCTATACTTCTTCAGCAAGTTAGTATGTTTAACGCATGTAAGTACCGCGCATATTCTAAAGATCACTTAAGGATCTTTCAAGTGTCGTCTTTAAAATTGTAGTCTTATCAATCTTATGCTCAGCAGACATCCAATTTTATTCGGTAAAAGAAAATTCAAGCAAAAAAAACGTTTGTAGTTACACGTAACATAAAACGATCGGACTAAAAGAATCGATTCAACAATATTTGAATTCTTGAACTTATCAGCTATCTCAATGAAATGATCAATTATCTTCTCCAAAAAAAATTCTGTAACTGTAACAATTATTACAGAAAAGGGGCGAATACATTGAAAAATGTGTCATTCATTCTATTAAAATTCATCATATTGTATTGTTTGTAGTCTATTCATTTTGAAATTTTATTCAATTATGTGATCCGTTTATTGCACATTGCTGGCACAAAAAAAGCAAACGTAACCATGTGTTAACTAATCAAATCATGTTAGATGAATGCCAATCGGCAGCCTATGCTCCATTGGGTGTATAAGAGGCATAGCTAAGAATGATAATGAAATCCAAGCAACTGAAAAACAATAGGAGTTGTTGACAACACGACTATGCAGCGAAAATAGACACCGATAAAACTTTTATTGTACAGACAGCACATAATATACTTTCCAAACAATTAATTCATTTACAAATCTAAATTAACAGTTTTGAAATAATAGTGAAATTTTCACAATGAAATGAATACTTTTTTCAGTGTTTCTTATCAATTATGAACAAACATATTTTAGAATAGGTATTTAGTGGAAGCGAAAATGGAGTAGCTTCTGTTTTATGAATGAAAACAGAGGCATATGACACCTGATAGTCAGCATAATAACGTGGGATGCATATTGAATGTGATATGAAATCATCCGGTGACATGACATGCTGCTCAAATACGAGTGTTCCAATATCCATTGAGTGAAAAAATAAGACTTGATATGAAGAAGAACCTGTATTCTACAAACATCCAGAAAGTTCAAGGTCCGAGTCGAGAAGAAGACCCGGATGGTCGATCCTCAGTCTCGTTTCCTGACTAAGGTAAACTCGTAATGATTCAAGCATACCAATTTTACATGTTTAAGTGCATGCATAAAAATTTGAAAAGTTTCAATTAAACAATAACATTGCAAGACAATTATCGCTTGTCCATGGTGGATGGTTGACTCACATCTGACATGATTGAACTACATCATGTAATTTTTATCAGATCTCAATGAACTTTCATGATGATTATTAGGTCTTATTCTGATAAAATATAAGAATAATGATATAAATGAAGTACGGTGTCCAATGTAGCGATTTTCGTAGTTAGACAACAGTTAGGAATAAAATCCTTGATGGATTGATCTAATACGAAACAAAGACCTGGACACGTACTTTTCGAAACATCACTACTTGAGTGAAACCAATTTTTCATAGCTTTCATTTTTCAGTAATTTATTTCATAGTCATCATTGTTCAGTGGGACGTATACTATATTCGAATGAATTATAACGAAATGGATGAAGTCGCGCAACATCCCATAGATCAGTCAGAAGTTAGACATTAACATCGCTGATGTTAATCACTGATGATGATCTCGTACAAGGACGAAACCACCGTCCTGTGCTTCCGGGTTTCTAATTGTGGTCTGACAATGATTGATTGATGATTTCAAATGTGTGTAAACATGAATTTCCATAACTCTAATTAGAAATAAACAAAGATTATTGACCTTAATTAGGTCACTGATATTTTATGTTGAATTAACTAACTAGACAATTCATCATTAGTTCGCAAAAATAAGTTGATATAAATTTGATGATATGAATGAAGAATTGTCGATTCATTGACAATAGTTAACTGTCATCATTCTTTCAAACAATTTATGGATAAATAACTTGTTGTGTCCATTTGCAAAGAATAATTTATTCCGAAACATTTCCTTGCATACCACAAAAAGTAAAACAAGAACTACCTAACAGTAGTGGCCTTAACTATATGTAAATGAAGTTGTAATCCGTTGAATGAATCAAATATTCCTTTCAAGGTACCCTATATATAGTAATGAATTATGAACTCGATTTATATAAATAACTGATATTTCATTACAGTTGAACTCAAATTCACATATTTCACCTCGAACTGAAGTGTTTGGTGATGATGTTGCTCAGGAAAGCGAAAACAGCACCACAACGAAAATATCCAGTTTAGAGAAAGAAACTCCATCTGAGTGAAGTGATGACCGAGTCCAGATTGATTATGGTCTGTGTGTATGTGTTAGGCTTCATAAACTGGGATTTCTCATCTAGTTTTATCCTATATTCAGGATTGATGTTCATACAAACATTGAAACAAATTACCGATTACATTGAACGTCAATGCTTTGTCTATCATGTGACTATGTCAAAATATGCACTTGAAAGCATCTGAAATTGAAATGACTACAGAATTTCCAAGGCAGATTGAGCAACCTCCTCCGGATGCATGTATATATATAAAGTAGCCCATCAAATGATAATGTCATTGATAAAATTCATAGGATAATGTTAACTCTTACAACTTATTCTTCATGATTAAGCTATTACAGTCATACCAAAGTAAGCTAGATATGTTGTATCAAACGAAGTAAATTCATTACTTACCAAATAATTTTTATATTTAAATATTCGTTTGATTACGTTTGTAGGTATATTAATTATTTATGTACAAACACAACTTCCGTTAACTATGATAATGCATCCTGGACTACGTGGTTGTCCCTAACATGCTGCACCCGATGTACTCTGTGAACAGGCGTCGAGGCCTCTTAAACAAGGGTCTCTAGTTGGGTTCCGGTGCTTTAGTGCTGAAAGGGTACTGAACACCAATGATGTCTGCCCACTTCTGTGGGATGAACCGTGCTTGGCTGAGCGCTTGCGTTTGGAAAGGTGTACGTTCTAGCTGACCTTGTGGGACAAACTCGATCTTTAGCTTTATGTGGGGTTCAGAGGGCCTCGATCGATTGTATCAACGCAAGGCAGTTGGAGGCCAGACGGTTGGAATGGCTGTTGGTTAGTGCACTGCTTGGGTGGCTCGGTAACCTGCTACGGGGTGCCTTGTCCGGAAGGATAAGCCCGCCTTGCAGCCCTCGTTGATTGGGGATTGTTGGCTGTGGTTTGGCTGGTGGGATTTCTTGATTCATAAGTGCCCGTGCAGGGGCCACTGCTCGTTTGCGTGCTTTTTGGATGTCCAACTTGTCTGCAGACCAAACCGGACAACATGTATGTACCCGAAATGGGCAGGGGTCAGTACTGTTGGCAACAGTGAGAATCCTTGCGCTGTATATCAACGCAGCGATGTGCATGTGCAGCTGCCTGTTGGTTGACCATGAAATGCATCCCCAAATATATTAGTTGTTATATTCTAATGTCCGTAATTGTACATTCGCGATTTCTCATCACATTCAATATTCATCTCTCCTTATTATTTAGCATTTCAAGCATTGCAAAACACTTTGTACAAATCCTAGCATGAGGAATGCTAACATACTACTTAAAATATGAATAATTGATTTTATGGTTGTGTAATGCTCTGCGTAAGGATGTTTATCTACAAGCAAAACTACAATTGTGTATTTCATAATTAATAAGGTTACAGCATTTTCAGATGGAATTAGAAAAGTTCATTGAAACTCTCATACAACACTGCAATTCCAAGTTTCAATAAAAAATCAATCAATTTGTACTTTAGTATTCAGTCAATCTTTACTTTTCTCTATAAACATAATATTCTACCTATTAAATAGCTGTATATTATTATATTCATTGAAACCTTTGAAGACATTTTACTAACATACAGTCCAATAAATGTTTAAGGTCATTTTGTTTTAATCTACACCACATATAAATAAATAGTTAGTTTATTTTATGTTTGTTTTGTATTCATTTTGTACAACAATTTAAATTTAAACTTTCTTTGCTTTATTATCATGGCCGAAATGTTAAAGAGTACTATGTCAGAAACTATGGAAATGGTAGCTTCTTTTACAATTAAAGAAGCCTTCCAGCAATCGACTGACATGAAAGCCAGAGCACAATTTATTGAGGATAAATTCAATGACTACCTAAAGAAAAGTGTTCAATTCAAAGATTACCATATTCGATGTGTTATCCTGGAATTATCACCCGAGTAATTACAGTAATATTTTAATAATTATCGATTCAATGTGATATGTATGTACATTAGATGTCTATATGAAATATTCTTCTCCACTGATGATCCCCATCATCATAAACAGTTATCATTCTATTACATCTCATATATTATTTTATTTTATACTCAATAGTTCATATTGAAATGATAGTTACTGCTACTCTGAATGGGACAAACAATCCTACTCTTGTAAACCAATCAGTAGTATTGATAATTATGACTAATATAAAATTGATTTTCGTAAATTTTTTTTTTATTTTCAGATTAGAAAAAGATCTATTTGAATATGAACCAGATGATAATTATTTATTCAGTGCTTTTAAAATGGATAATCAGTTTATCTTGTTAGGAGATCAGAGCCGTAGAATGCCTTTTCCATGAATTGGGAATTTTTTTTTTTATTTGACTACTAAACTTATTATTCAAAATAATAAATGAACTTTCATGTTGATTGCATTGAAAGGTTTGTTTTTTTGGGGGAAAATAAAAGGTGAAAACAAGAAATTGTTGAATGACAAAACATTAAAACGAGTGAAATATGCTAGTCGAAACTTATAATGTTGCTTCTATCAAATGTACGTCTGTAATGTACGTCGATAAAGCGAAGTCTCCTCATAATATTCGATTATAATGCAGGAATTTTTGAGATACGATTCTCTATTCAGGATTGGTTACCATCGGCACATGAAGTAGTGACGTATCATGAGGTATTGATGCGTTTCGACCGCCTTACTGACCGATGGAGTCTTATCAGCGCTATGTGCGGATACGGATGTCTCGATTGGCTTTTGCCATTTTGTGTCATTTACGGAGCAGTTGATATATTTGTCTGCTAGGCAGTTCGCTTTGTCTCAGTTAACTGGTTTGATACATTGTCAGTAACACGATAGTTATAGCTTACGGATAGTCGATTATCAGTGTCTTCGAAGCTTTGCTCGTATGACCTGAAACCAGCGAGAAGGCAAGCATTGTTTAGTTTAGGTAAGGGGCACTAGGTAAGGATGACAAATCCATTGGCGAGGTAGATAATGTTCATCAGTTAAGGTAGATGGAACATGTGTTGTTACGTATACTCAGTCAACCAACCGATTCAGACAAGTAATGTTGACTGATAAGGAAGAAGGCTCAGACGAAGTCGGGGTCATCCAAAATGAAACGTGGTACAGTTCAATAAAGTCACTGAGCCATGTGTTTAGGTTTAGTTTATCTGGTTGAAGTCTGCGAAACGGTCATCATTGAGTGTCAGCGACTATGAATGACATGTCTCAAAATCGGTTTCAACGGTACAAAGGCACACATTTTCTGTTTATTATCGAATTCCATTTTTCCTTAATTCCTTATGACGGTTCTCGTTTTCATTTTAAATTTATTACAGTGAGATACACTTCTCGAATCATCACTCCGAATTCTAAGCTATATGATTCCGACCAATACCTTCACGACCACTGCCACAAGGGGATTTTAAGTGTAAATTCTATCACTCTGTCATAATTTGGCATGAAAAATTCAACTGACAGATTTGCGAAAAAAGGTTCTACGTGACTTCGATATTGTTCAATAATTAAGGAAGGTTGAGAAACTACTTGATAAGAGAAAAGTATCTAAATCATTAGACACGAATCCGATAATAGGATTAGACAATCAAATCTCAAGGACTCTATGTGAACCTACCAAAGCGTAACAGATATCAAGAGAAGATCATTATAGAATGAAATCAATTAAATTAGTTATTTTACGATTTTACGGTTGGACTCAGCCATATACACCCAACGTCTAACAATGTCAACATAAAAATTACAATGAAAAATTTCAGGATTGTCGAAATATTTAGTGGATTCATTGAAATACTCTATTAAATGTTCCAATTATTTTTCACACAAACCCGACAAGATTCAAATCGACAACGACAAATCTATCATAATTTTCGACATAACAGGCTTATTCACCTGAAACGAATTTAGTTTTACTGATGATACTGCATCCATGCTTCCTTTAAAGAACAAGTCTCCTGAAATAAATGAAACTAGAATCAAAATCTAGCAAAACTCTTCGATCCATGCTTAACAGCGTTTTGACAAATCAATAACTTACTTACTTACTTACGCCTGTTACCCACCAATGGAGCATAGGCCGCTCACCAGTTTTCTCAAACTAACTCTGTCCTGTGCTTCCCTCTCCAGTTCTGTCAAATGTTTGTTCATTCCTCTCATATCTTTCTCTATTTCTCGGCGTAGTGTGTTCCTTGGCCTTCCTCTTTTCCTTTTGCCTTCAGGGTTCCATGTGAGGGCTTGTCTCGTGACGCAGTTAGTTGCTTTTCGTAGTGTGTGTCCTATCCACTTCCACCGCTTCTTCCTGATTTCCTCCTCCACTGGAATCTGACTTGTTTTCTCCCACAGTTCGTTGTTGCTGATGGTGTCTGGCCAACGAATACGAAGTATTTTGCGTAGACACCTGTTAATAAACACTTGTATCTTCTGGCTGATGGCTTTTGTAGTTCTGCATGTTTCCGCTCCATACAGTAGAACTGTCTTCACATTTGTATTGAAAATCCTGATTTTGGTTTTGGTTGAAAGTTGTTTGGAGTTCCAGATATTTTTCATTTGTAGAAATGCAGCCCTTGCTTTGCCAATCCGCCCCCTCACATCTGCGTCCGATCCACCTTTCTCGTCGATGATGCTGCCAAGATATGTGAAGGTGTTAACGTCCTCCAAGGTATCTCCATCAAGCGTGATTCGGTTGGTGCATGTTGTGTTGCATCGGAGAATTTCGCTTTTTTCTTTATGTATGTTGAGACCTACTGCTGCAAAGGCTGCTGCTACACTGGTCGTCTTCTCTTGCATTTGTTGTTGAGTGTGCGATAGAAGAGCCAAGTCATCTGCGAAGTCCAGATCGTCCAGCTGCGTCCTAACTGTCCAGTTGATACCGTGCTTCCTTCCAGATGTCGACGTCTTCATAATCTAGTCGATGACCAGGAGAAAGACAAAGGGTGAGAGTAAGCAACCTTGCCTGACACCGGTCTTCACCTCAAAAGAGTCTGTCAGCTGACCTCCGTGCACGATTTTGCAGTTGAATCCATCATAAGAATTCCGTATGATGTTGACTATTTTCTCAGGCACACCGTAGTGTCGAAGAAGCCTCCACAGTGTTTTCCTATCCACGCTATCGAATGCTTTGTCGTAGTCGATGAAGTTGATGTAGAGTGGTGAGTTCCATTCAATTGATTGTTCCACAATGATCCGTAATGTAGCGATTTGGTCAGTACATGATCGATCCTTACGAAATCCGACCTGTTGATCTCGAAGTTGGGCGTCTACGAAGTCCTTCATTCTGTTTAACAATACTCTGTTGAAGACTTTGTCTGGTGTTGAAAGAAGAGTGATGCCTCTGTAGTTCTCACACTTGCTGAGATCGCCTTTCTTCGGTATTTTGATGAGGTATCCTTCTTTCCAATCTGATGGTACTTGTTCCTCATCCCAAATCTTCTTGAAGAGGATGTGAAATATTTTCGCAGTTGCTTCCACATCTGCTTTCATTGCCTCTGCTGGAATGTTGTCTGGTCCTGCTGCTTTGCCGCTCTTGATTTGTCTGATGGCCATACTGATCTCCTCAATCGTAGGTGCGCCAATATTAATTGGGAGATCCTTGGATGCTGCTTCGATGTTGGGTGTGTTCAGTGGAGCTGGTCGATTTAAAAGTTCCTTAAAGTGCTCTACCCACCTATTTCGCTGTTGTTCAGTGTTGCTGATTACTTTGCCTTCCTTACTTTTCACTGGTCGTTCTGGTTTACGATAGTTTCCGGCCAGCTTCTTTGTTGTTTCATACAATTGTCTCAAGTTTCCTTCTCTTGCAGCCTTTTCCGCCGTCACTGCTAGATCTTCCACATATTTTCGTTTGTCAGCTCTGATGCTCCTCCTTTCTTGAATTTTTCAAGAGTACCAACAGAGATCCATTCCATGTGATGGTGCTTCTTGCGACCAAGGACCTCCTGACATGTTGAAGTGATTGCCTCCTTAATCCCTTTCCAATTGTTCTCCAATGTTGCTTCCTCTCCATTGAGTAGATCCTGAAAGGCCTGGAACCTATTGGTAAGGGCTATCTTGAATTCGTTGAGTTTTACGGTATCCCGAAGAAAGGCCGTATTAAACTTCTGTGATGTTGTCTGCCCCGTTGTCCAGTGCTTCTTTAGCTTCAATCTCATTTTGGCGATCAGCAAATGGTGATCTGAAGCTATATCAGCTCCTCTCTTGATTCTCACATCCTCCATGGTCCTTCTGAACTTTTTGTTGATACAGATATGGTCAATTTGGTTTTGAGTAGTGTGATCCGGTGAAATCCATGTGGCTTTGTGAATGCGTTTGTGAGGGAATATTGTGCCACCGATGACCAGTTTGTTGAAGGCACATAGGTTTGCAAATCTCTCACCGTTTTCGTTTCTTTCTCCCAGTCCATGTCGTCCCATGATGTCTTCATATCCAGTGTTGTCCATGCCAACCTTGGCATTCAGGTCTCCCATAAGAATCGTCAAATCCTTTGGTGAACATTTCTCGACGATTGACTGCAGCCTTTCGTAGAATTGATCTTTAACGTCGTCATTGTAGTCATTGGTAGGTGCATAACATTGGATGACGTTCATTGCAATGTCCTCTTTCTTTGTTTTGAAGAATGCTTTGATGATCCTGGGTCCATGAGATTCCCATCCTATCAGTGCCTTTTGTGCATGTTTGGACAGCATCAGTGCAACTCCTTGTGTATGTGAAGCATTAACCTCCTGATGACCAGAGTATAACAGCAGTTCCCCTGAAGCAAGTCTCAGTTGTCCTACCTGTGTCCAATGTGTTTCACTGATGCCGAGCACCTCGAGGTTGTATCTTTTCATTTCTGCCGCAACTTGAAATAGTCTTCCAGTATCCCACAATGTACGAACGTTCCATGTACCTAAAAAAATGGTTGCTCTGGTTGTCAGAAGAGGCATCGGCCCCGTGACTTCCGAGGGAACTCGGCTTTCATCACGAGACGTCATAATTCTTCTTCCAACTCCCAGGGCAGAGTTAAAATGGTTTGAATTATTTTTTCTGGTTAGCGTTTTTTTGGCAAGTGAGATTTCAACGGAATGGGGTCGCCAACCCCATGTCCAACCCTCCTCCTTTATCCGGGCTTGGGACCGGCAGTAGCCCCTTAGGTTCTACTGGCGGAGTTACAAATCAATAACAACATCTATAAACGAACGACTGGAACACCAATGGGATAATCAAAATCAGGACTTATCAAAGAAGCGATAATGAAGAAAATTGGAGGCCAGATTTTACCAGTGATCAAACTGACAAGTCGTGCTTATTGCGCAGATGGCACATTCATCATCAGCAACACCTCTGATAACATAAAATTTCCGAAGCAAAAAGAATCTGGCCAAAACCTATCATTCCTGGATGAAATAAACAAAAGAACTGACACAGGAACACTGGAGACTCAAGCATTTCAGACGGCAATCTACACAGATCTAGTTATCAACTGCAGTAGCAACAACCAAAGATCTCATGAAATCATTGGCGCACAAACGTTGTTCAAGAGGGCACAAATACACTGGAATACACATTGAGAACATAAAATGAAGAATAATATCTGATTACTTTCTTTCAAAATAGTGCCTACCACGGCAAATTCATCAAAAATGTTCATTTAAATACAGGAATCAGCAATCATATCATGTATGAAAATATAACAGAAATTACATCACGATTACTGAATAGATGTAGCACACAAACCAACAGAATCACTCCAATTAACCGTGTATAAACCAAGCGAAAAAATGACAACAGTAGAAAAACATCATCAGCAAAATATATATGGTCAAATGGACAAATAAGGAAATACTGAATACTGAGAATACAGATAGCATTTTAGAGATTTATCAATCAGTAATCGACAAACACATTAACACAGAGAGATACAGTCCTATAAAGGTGCTAACAACGATAGGTTTAATGACAGAATGTTCACGCATGATACTTTGGATCCGCTGTCAGAAACCATCAGTGTCTACCTAGTGTTGCGTAGAACAAACCAGAGTGCATATGAGTAAAGAATAAAGAAGTTCGATGGAAGGTGAATATAACATATTGAGGAAAACACTGAAATGTACCACAAAAACAGACTTCACTTTCAATCGTCAGTGTCAAATGGATAAAAAGAGATTAGAAAGAATACTCCGAGAACTCGAATCAGAACTGAAAATTATAAACAACGATTGCGTGGAAATGAAAATGAACGTCTTTCATAGAGTAGCTGATTATTCTGAAAGTCACTGAAACATCTTTCTAGTGTCGCCCATGAATTGCAGTCTCATCGATCTTATTTACAACAAACACCCTATTCTATCGATAAAGTGAAATTCCAGTAAATTAAATTTCCAGTTGTCCAATCTTTTACATGTACCATAGAAAAATCGATAAAAAGGAGGAATCAGTTCTAAAATCTCTAATACTTAAACGTATCAACAATCTCAAAGAAATGACATATTCATTTCTCCGAAAAATTCTGCAAATATAACAAGTATTGTGATGCGAGCTACTTATAAGTAGGATATGACGTCAGTGTCAACGTAATGTCTTGCAGCAGAAGATGGGAGGAAGATCAAGAAAGGAAGAGTTAGAACACAATGGAATTTGTATGGAACGCATGAATAGTGACAATGGATTGATGTTTTGCAACAGGAACAGTCCAGTTCGATATGATGGACTGATATTTTGCAAATTAACGATTTACGATATGATTTTCCTATTTTACTGAGTAACACTGTAATTTTCCTTGCCCCACCTGTGTTCTCCTTCACTACAGTATTATCGAAGTGTAACACGATGAAAAAATAAACCTTTCATTTTATTAAAATTAACAATATTTAAAATACTTTGAAAAACAGGAAAATAACCTAAATGTATGACTATAAATACATAGATTTTAAAGTCATTGTTGATAGTCTGTTCAGTGAAAATTATCTTCATTTGTATGATCGGTTTATTGCAAATTGTTGGCATTAAAGCAAATTCAACCATGTGTTAATTAATCAAATCAGGTTAGGTGAATGCCAATCGGTGACCTATGCTCCATTGGGTGTATAAGAGGCATAGCTGAGAATGTTAAGGAAATCGAACTTTTATTGTACGGACAGCACAAACACTTTCCAAACAATTCATTTACAAATCTGAATTCATAAATTTAAAATAGAAGTGAAATTTTCAGAATGAAATAAATCCTTTTTCAGTGTTTCTTATAAATTATGAACAGTTGTAAATGAATTATTTTGAAAGTGTTTGTGCTGTCTGTACAATAAACGTTTACTGATAAAGTTTACCAGATAAACTAAACCTAAACACATGGCTAAGTTCAGTTGTCAGTGACTTTATTCATGTGTGCTACGTTTCAGTTTGTACGACTACAGCATCCTTCTAGCCATCCTCATCAGACAACACCACTCGTCTTAATCAGTTTGTTGATCGACTATACGTAACACATATTCCAACTACGTCAACTGATCAACATTATCTGTTTCTTCAAATGATTCGACATCATTACCTAGTAGTCTTTACATAAGCTAAGCATTTCTTGTTTGATGAGTAGACCAAGGTCGTACGTGCAATACTTCGAAGACACCTATAACAGACTATCAGTAAGCCATAAATATCGTCTGACTGCCCATGTTTCAAACCAGTTAAACTGAGACGAGGCGAACTGCCTATCAGTAAACTCGTCTTTTTGCTTGCAACAAATATATTGACTGCATCATAAGTGGGGCAAGGTAGCAAACTCCAGGTGACACATCGATATCCGTGCTGAGATTTCGTTAAATATCAGCGCATTAGCACTTTTCACACTCCAAAAATTATTAAAGCGCTCAAGACACACCAATACTTCACCAAAAACGAACCACTCAATGCAATCAACATGAAAGTCCATTTATTGGTTTTTCATAACAAATAAAATCATATAAAATAAATCCTTGTTCAGAAAATGACTTGGTCAAGAGGAATATCACCCAAGAATACAATCCGGTCATCGATTACAAAGGCAATGAATAAATAATCATTCTCTGGTTCAAATTCAATTATACTTTGTTCGTAGCTGCAAATAAAAAAAATTTAAACAAAATGAATTTTTTATCATCAGTAAAAGTAAAGAAATTTACGAATAGACAAATTGCAAACAATTCATAATCAAATTTATATTGGTCATATTCATTATTACTACTGAATGGTTTACAACAGTAGTATTGTTTGTCTAATTCACAGAAGCAGTAACTATCATTTCAATATGAACTATTCAGTATAAAATAAAATAATGTATGAGATGTAATAGAATGATAACTGTTTATGATGATGGGGATCATCAGTGGAGAAGAATATTTCATAAAGACATCTAATGTACATACACATCACATTGAATAGAAAATTATTGAAATAATATTGTAAAATTACTCGGTTGTGTACTTCTTGTTAACACATCGAAAACGGTTTAATCCGACATCACGATTGCCACTCATGTATTTCTGGAATTCACGCTCAATACGTTCTGCTCTTTCTTTATTGTCATTATGACTTGTGAAGGTACGTTCCACCAAATTAGTAGCTTCTGTTATCATAGAGTCAAGCATATTAGTTTTGATGATTTTGGCCATGATAATAAAGCAAAGAAAGTTGAAATTCAAATTGCCGTACAAAATGAATAAACAACCAGAAAATAGACTAACTATTTATATGTATTGCAGATTAAAACAAAGTGACCTTAAACATTTATTGGACTGTATGTTAGTAAAATGTCTTCAAAGGTTTCAATGAATATAATAATATACAGCTATTTAATAGGTAGAATATTATGTTTATAGAGAAGCGTAAAGATTGACTGAATACTAAAGTACAAATTGATTGATTTTTTATTGAAACTTGGAATTGCAGTGTTGTATGAGAGTTTCAATGAACTTTTCTAATTCCATCTGAAAATGCTGTAACCTAATTAATTATGAAATGCACAACTGTAGTTTTGCTTGTAGATAAACATCCTTACGCAGAGCATTACACAACCATAAAATCAAATAATTATATTTTAAGTAGTATGTTAGCATTCCTCATGTCATGATTTATACAAAGTGTTTGCAATGCTTGAAATGCTCAATCTGCACTACTGAGTTCACATGTTCATTGATATTTCATCGATCAATAATTTTACAGGAATTCATATCATCCTGATTGTAGTTGTGTCAATATGACGATGATAGGGATGTAGATAGTTTGAATGAGTGGTTGAGACTTTGATCAGAATCGTCTGTTTATTGATCATTGTGAACAACCTGAAAGTAGGTTGATGAAGAAAGATGGTAGTAATCAACAATTGCTGATTCGTGAATAATATGGCCAATTTAAACTTTGTCCTACTGCTCTACGACTAATTAAAACAGAATTTTCCTACTTTTAACAATAGAATAGAAATAGATGACCGTTTCAGTTTGTTAGTAATTGTTCTTTGTCCCGAATTTGTCTGAAGAGGATATTGAGTATCTCCGCAATCGATGCTACGGCTGTCTGCATCACCTCCGCTGCATTGCAGCTTTTGATTGGTGTTATGGCCATACTGATACCATCAATTGCTGGTGGGTCAACATTGATCGGGAATTCCGTGGATGCGTCTTCGATGTTGGGACGGTTCATGGAGACTGGTCGATTCTAAAATTCTTCACGGTTCTATACTCACTTGTTTAGCTGAACTTCGATATCAGCGATCGGTTCGCTTTCATCGCTCTACAATGGTCGATCTGCTATACTAGAACTTCTGGCGAACTTCTCCGATTATTGCCTTTTCACCATCTATCTTGATTTACTTTAAATTCAGTTTTGTCTGTGTATTCGGCTTGTGCTTTGGCTTTGACTGGTCACGTTTGACTGATTTTGATTGCGGTGTTCTTGTTTTTCCTTTCTCGAATCTTATCCAGAGTATTGTGAAAGGCCTAAAATCTGTTCACTAGGGCTATTTCGAAGTCAGTAAGTTCGGCAGTACCCTGAAAGAAGGCCGTACTAAAATTTTATTATGTGACTCACCCAGCTGTTCAGTACTACTTGAGCTTCAGTTTCATAATGCAAATTTATTGTTATATATATGGTCAGTTTGGCTTCTTGTATGCGTTTATCTGGGAATATTTAGCCGCCTATGATCCCTTTGTTGAAAGAACACAAGTCCGCGAATCCTCAATTTAGGATCTTGCAGTGCAGTCCAGCATAAGCATTTCGTATGATGGTGGCTATTTTGTCACACACGCCGTAGTGTCTAAGAAGCCTCCGTGACGCCATTCTGTTAACATTATCAAAGCCTTACTTGCAGTCGAGGGAGTTGATGTATAATTGTGAGCTCCATTCATTGGATTAATGTACCATGACCATTAATGTCATGTGCTATTTGACCAGTACCTGATCGATCCTAACGAAATCCGTCCTGTCGATCTCGAACCTCACTGTCTATTGAAACTTTCCTTCCATATAAGAACATTCGGTTGACCAAATTTTGTTTGTATTGATATTGCACTAATACGTCTGTGGTTCGCACTCTTGCTGAAATCACATTCCTTTGAAATCCTTCTTCGCCATCTGTTAACATTTAATATTCTTACAAAATCTTGCTGCGTTGAGAATGCAACATCTTTGCTCAGTCTGCATTCAGTGTCTTTTGAGAAAAGCCTCAAATATCTCTTACCTTACGTTGTGAACATTTATTTGCTAACTTTCATATAATTCCATTGCATAATATACACTAGTTCAGATGTACTTGTCAATGAACGTGACAATGAACAATCAAATGATCACGGACTAGTTTTTAAATGATTAGTTATTGTTATATCTATTAACACATGACTTTATAGTATAGTATATTCATATAAGCGCAAAAAATTAAAAAAAAGATGTTTTGTATTAGTGTGTATTGAAAGAGTATGCAGTTTCTGTTTTTTTTTTCTCACTTGAATCAATCTGTTTTAAGATTGGAAACGGAATTCGTGATACACTCCTAATCGAATTCAAGACTTGTCAGCTGGATGCATCCATTACACAGAACTAATATCTACTCTGACGCTCGAAACCAAGTACCATTTCTTTAAAACGTTGGTCACATTGTACACAAAACCACTTAGTTGAGGTGGCACTGCCAGTAATTACATCAATGTGAAGGTCAGTCAGTAATAGAGTAATTAACATAAGTTGATGAGACAACGAGCAAGGTTTATCTCATTAGAAGAAAATTACAATTTATCACAACAGTTAACATTTTGAAAGAATCCATACAATCTTCCTTCAATATCAAATCACCATTTTTGATAATCTGTACCTAGTTGAAATTTTACAATTTCATGTTACAAGTATATATCAGATTAGAATAGATGTGTAATCAAGGAATGAATGGATTACTGCATTTCTCAGTTCTTCACGAATCATTCATTATTCACCTGTTTTTGCTCTGAAACTCATTTACTGTATTCACCAAATGTCTATTTTTAGGCAAATTCTTGTCAGACTGTGAATAGTAGATCATGAATCTTCATGAAACTGAGTCGGCTGGCTTGTTTTCTGCGTTCAAACTACCATCCATCTTATGTTTACTTGATTAGCATAGATGTCAATTGAATTTTCATCATTACAAGGTTCGTAAAAACTTGATATTATTCAGTCATTACAAAATATATACTAGAAAGGATGTGATATTTGTTCTGTACAAGCATGATGCATTTTATCAGTCTAAGGCGATGCTGTGGAACATTTAAACCTCAATAATAAATGCGTTAACTTTAGACAGCTGAGCTGGTACACAATCAATTTCTAATTTGAATCAGTTACGTCTTTTCTCTTAACCGTTTATGATTTCAAATGGCAGAACTTACTCCCTCAGTGATGTTCAGTATTTTAAAATGCTAGTTTATTGTTAAAACGAAGGACTATTTGACAATGAATTATAATTTAACTAAGAAGACTTAAATCTGACGGAAAATTCAATTATCCAACAGAATTAATGTTATTGTTAACCAAACAAGTAAATCTGTGGTGGCCAATTTCTGCGTGTTCTAAGCTCGGTAATTAGCTCGTTCAGACAATCGTTACTAATTAGCGTCTGAAGGTTATAAATCAGAAGATGAAATCGAAGTATTGGATACGTTTATTGTGGCACACCACAAGCAGACCGTGCAGAGACACTAGTCAGCGAATATGCGAATGTGCGAATGGGCGATTGGACAGGCGAAACAGGTTGGAGAAGGATATTGAGACAACTCCAAGAGATAGAGCCTGACTAAAAATATATAGTCAGACAAATATAAGACAGACATGCCACAAGCGAAACAGGCACACATGAACAAAGCGACGAATGATTGACAAGGTCAAATAACAAGTGGGACATATCATGTAAGCGTCGAGCTTTCTCGCCATACTTCTGGTGATACCAACAAATACCAGTTGACCTCTTCGGAGACTTGGAGCGGTGTCGGGAGCATGACGTTCTTCTAGAGAAACATGCAGTTGGTTTAGTGCTAATCATTGCTACCGAGGCTCGTAGCGTTTCTATCTGGTTGGTAAGTTGCATTATCTGTTGTTGAAGATTAAGAACGGTACACATACTATCTATGCTAGTGGTTTGCACAGGATTAACTACATGGCTATCTGAAGAAAGATCCATTGTCAATGGTTTAGTGCAGGTAAAGCCGTATTAGATAGAAACAAAACGTGTGAGACGAAAATGTTAATTAAAAATTATAGTAGTACAACAAATAACATAAACGTAGGCTCATCAAATAATTGTGGTTGACCAAACATTATATTATTTCAAAATATCAACAAAGTTATTGAATACAAACAGATGTATATTGAAATATATAAGTTAAATGTGATAAATACAATAAAAATGTAGGGACGTTACTTTATACAGCTGCTTGTGCGTGTTCGGTTGTGTTTGATATTATAAATCCACAATTATAGAAATGTTATTCATCCAAATGGTGTAATTATCCATAGAGTAGCATATACGTATGACTGCAGTCTATAAACGTAGATAATATACGTATCAGATTTCAGATAGCGTGTTAATGAACGATTGAGAACATGAGATGTGTGAATAAAGTGTATTTGAAAGGCTACGGCAGTGAGTGCCGTGCTATGTGTACAATGAATGGAAGATGGAAGCAGTGTGTGCGCCTGATATATTCAAGGACACACACTTAAACAAAATGTACAACAATTTCATAGTGGATGTACAAGCTGTGAAAATTAACAGGATAAATACAAATAGTATCAAAAACTATTTACAAAATAAGTTTGTCATGCCATCTCCACACATTGTCTTATTTCCTTTACTGAATAAATCGTTTTATTCCAAAAGTCAATTTATTGTTTGATTTCTTTTATGTTTGAGTAAAATGGCTTAAAACGATCCGGTTGACTGAAGAGTTATTTTAATGTTTTTCATCTACCTGACCCATAATTCTGTACATCAACTTTACTCCAATCTTTCAATATCCTTCATCCCATCCAACTACTAATATAATATATCACAAAGTCGAACAGTAATCAAATAAGTAGTAACATTACAACTAATTAGAAAACTAATTGAACTAAACTATACATCAGTGATAATCACAATGATTAATGACTACTTGTGATGGTGTTTCTTTGCTCTGACCTGAATGTTTTGATTGTG